AAACTTGTGAAATTGAATAGAATCTCTTGTGAATTAATAATTTTTATTTATGATAATAAAACTGTAGCTTAGATATAATTATATTATTTTTCAATTCAATTATCTAGTTGTTTAGAATGTGAACTCATATACGTGACAAGAATACGAACTATACTAGAATAAATGAGATCCAACATAAGTTTAAAAAAACTATATGAAGCTAATAATACATCATCTTGTCGTTACTTGTCGGTTAGAATAAACTAGTAAATTACTGTGTTTTTTATGACATATTGGCTACCGATGAATGCTTGAAGTAAATCCGATATTTCTTGCACAATTAGATCTTTTGATTTCTTTTTTTTTTTGTCTTCGATAACGGAAGTTTAGATTACTTTGACACAAACAAGAAATTTTTCTTTTATCTAGAATAGGTTAACGATACTCAGAACTATAATTGTTATCTCCATTCTAATTACTAAGAAATAGAACTTTATTATAAAATTTAAAATTTACTAATAAAATAATTTGTAAATATTTTAATAATAATAAATATTGAAAAAAATTATCCGATAAAAAATATTTAATTTGAATGAATAACAAAGAAAATATTATTAAAATAAAATGTATTCAATTGTAACAACCGGAAGCGAATATCATAAAAAACAACTATGAGTAGCCAACACAACGAGCAAAGAAAAAAAAAGAAATTTTTTTTTCTTTTGTTTTGTTGTCTTCCTATCATCCATGTCTCCCTCTCTCTATATATATGTTACATCCTAGCTTTCATGAACTTTTTTGTCAATTAGTCTCGACTGAACACGCAAAACACAATTTATATATACTTGGCACGTTCATTGGCTATGATTCCATTTCATATGTAACTAAATAAAAATATTCCAACAGTTGTCTTTTTCTTCTTCTTCTTCTTCTTCTTCTTTCAATGACATCAACTTTTTCAAATACAGTTTCATCAGTTAAAGTTAATGATAATTCAAATCGTCATTGTCATGAAATTGATCATCATCGTGTACATACAAAACGTGCAGTTACACTTGATGTTGAAACTCATAAAGAAAAACTTCGTATTGTTGTACTCGGAGCAACAAAAGTTGGTTCGTATAAATAAAAAAAATTTGTATGCAAAAAAAAAAAAAAATTTGCATTTTATTTTTTGTTTTGTAGGTAAAACATGTTTATGTCAACAATTTTTACAAGAAAAATTTTTAACTGATCATAAAGAAACAGTCGATGAATTACATAGTGTTGAAATATCACTTGTTGATCGTCGAATAATCCTTGAAATATTAGATACAGCTGGTATTGATGAATTTCCAGTTATGAGACGTATTGCTATAGCACATGGTGATGCTTTTCTTATACTTTATGCTGTTAATGATATACATTCATTTGATATTGCAAAACAAATGTATCAACTTGTCCTTGAAATAAAAACTAATTCAACAACACAATCTATACCAATAATAATTGTTGCAAATAAATGTGATTTAGAAATTGAAAAACATGAAATTACACAAGAATATGCTAAAAATACAGTACAAGATCAATGGAAAGCAATTCTTATTGAAGTAACATGTCATGAACGTGAATCTGTACTTAATATATTTCGTACATTACTTAATTTGGCTAATATTAATTTAGCATATAGTTCAGACATAATACGTCGTTCTTCTGATCCAATTTTACCTACGAATAGAGGACAACGTTCTATAACTAAACGACAAAGTTGTACGCATCAATAATTACTGATTTTTGATTATTATATCAAAAGTAATTACTTTAATGAAAAAATTAAAAAAAAAAAAAAAGAATAAAATCATTGTCACTGTTTGTTAATTCTTCAACTAGGATTTTAGATTAAGATTAATAGTGATAAAAAGAAAAAAAAAATACAAAGTCATGTTTTTTTTTTGTTAGAATTTATTTTAGGAAAAATATGTCGTAATAAAAGAAAAAGATTTCTTATTAATTCAAAACAAGAAAAAAAGACTAATTTTCAATGCACTCTATTAGAATAAAAAATAAGTTCAAGAGTATGACAAAAATAAAGATAGTAAAGAGAGCAACATATAATCTCGAGAATGTTATTGCCTTGAGGCTACATTCATGAATCAGTCGAGATTGAGTATCTATACCATCAAAAATTAATAAATCAATTCTGCAACTAGAAATTGATTCTAGTAAATAATAATATCATAGATACTATCACTATTAATTCATAGTATACAAGCTGTTTACACTATTCCTACGATCATGATGGCAGTGTTTATAATTTTCCTTTTTTTTTTTCGTTGACTTGGCCTTTTTTCAGTCTGAGAAGGAACATTGAAAATAGTTGTAAATTAGATTGTGATTCTGAAATAAACGAATACTGTTATTCATTTAAAAAAAGAATGAACTCGGAATAACTCGGCAACGTTGATAGCTATCGAGATCGGGTTTTCACCGTGAGAAAGAGCACATGAGTGAAGGTACAAGTCTACCTGAGAATCAAAATACTTGAAAAGTTTTTCAGGGACTTTTTTTTGGAAAATGAGTATCTGATTTACTTGATTGGATGCATTTCCAAATGAAATTGAAAATTTAATATCCCGAGAAAGAAACATCCTTTTGTGGAATATTCTATGGGCAAATTTTAAGATTGAAATTCGGTAATTTCATTTTCCGGTAAATACCTAGGAAAAGATCGAAAATTTAGTAAAAATGATCATCATTTTTTAAGAAAACGTCTAAAAATTTCAGAGTTTATAAAGTAGGCATCGAGCTAAATCGAAATTAAAAATACAGCTTATCAAACGAATCAGACAGTGATTTTCCAAAAAAAGTCTCTGGAAAACTTTTCAAGGATTTTGATTCTCAGGTAGACTTATACCTACAATCATGTTATTTCTAACGGCGAAAATCTGAGCTCGATAACTATTAGTGTTACCAAGTTATTCCGAGTCCATTCTTTTTTGGAAATAGATAATGTATACGAAAATCATGTAGAAACTAGAAAAGAAAAAAAATAAGCAGGACACGATATTTATGATCAAGGTCTCTTACCTAGTATAACGAAGAACAAATTTCCAATCACAAAGTGTCATATAGAGATTGAGTAAAATTATTCTTTTCTGTTGTTATAACTTTGCCGATAATATCAATATATATGATCCTGCTAGAATATTGGTTAAACATTGATTGCTCGCACAATATGCAACTTACTAAATGTTCGATCTACACTTGTCATTGATCCTGAAATATTCAATCATATGCTCGGAGAATCAGAACGTAAAGTACGTGATTTATTTGAAACTGCTTGTCAAAATCAAGAGCAGTATGGATTAAATAGCATCATCATTGTGGACAATCTAGCTTGATAAAAATTTGAACCCGATCGATTGTACTCTTGCCGAGAGCCCGAAGTAGTCCAAAAAAGGGAAGGGATACTCTTAATGCATATTTATATCTGGATGAACCTATATGCATATCTCTATTCAATCAATCTAGGGCTAAGTGAATCAAGTCTTTGTTTCATAAGGATTTATCAAATATCCTATGTCACAAAATCCGAATCACTTTTAGCGGTAAACCACCGGTTTCAATTGATACCGCGGTTAACCTGTAATTTTTGCGGCAAACTATATAAAACTAATGGCTGCAGAACGAAAAAATGCAAATATATATATATACATGTGTGTGTCTATCCCATCACTTATTCTGTTTGCTTACTTGCTTAGAGAAAAGAATCAATATAATAATAACGAGGTTCAATTGAGAATTAATATTTTTTTTTATATTTAAGTATTTAATAGTTATTTTTCAGATTAATTCTTTTATATTTATGTTTGAGGATTCATTTTTTTGTGTAGTTTTTTTTTGCGTTGGCTTGTATTTTTATTTTTGGTTAAAATAAAAGTTAAGTCAATTAAAAAATAACTGTTAAATTTAAGTACAAATATTAACGAAACAAAGAATCAAACAATACCGATTAACTGCATAGACGGATCGGTTAACCGCGATAATGAGAGCGGGTAACCGAACTGGTAAAAAACCGCGATAAACCGGCGGTTTTTCTCTTGTTTTCATTATATAGGATTCTAATTAATAATATTTATTTTACTTATAAGTTATATAAACGATTCTATTATATATCTTCCAGAGTAACAATTATGCTTTTCTTTTGAAGAAAATTGTCTGAACGTTTCCATGCTTTCAGATAAATATTATTCGATATATGTCAAATGAATTTAGCAATAGTATGTATGATGTTCGATTGTGTTCAGTACGCATGAGAATAAATCGTGAATTGCCCTTTGACATTACTTCAATTGATAGGCTTTTATCTATTTTTCAAAAACAACCATAAAAGTATACAAGATCATTTAAAAATTTACAACATTGTATATTAAAGATTTTGTTGAGTTAAAGAAAAAAAGAAATTTCATGTCGCAAATATGGCTGTCAATGATATATGTCATAGTTTTTCGTAGTCTCATAAAATGATGATAATAGTAGAAAATAACTATAGTGCGTAATATGAAACAACAAATAGCGATGAAAAACAATGTCGTTATATGGTATTTTATAATAGTTTACGACGATTAGAATAATCATTCTGATATCAATCTCTTGAACTCAAAAATATTTTACGTTTTTCAAACATTTATGATATTTATTTTCGTTTAAATATTGGTTACCAAGATAAATTTTCAAATTATTGTTTATGTCAATCATCAACATTTTTTTTTTCTTCTTCTTTAGAAATAAATCTTCTTTATTACTTCTCAACATATTTGATTAGAATCAAATTCGAAAAAAACAAAATTTGAGACGTATGTTTTATTAACAACAACAACAACCTATAAAGATATGAGATGTGTAATAAAATGATGGTCGTTATATGACACCTATATTGATATACTAAATTGCGTTTCTATATTAATAATATTCAACATAAAATTATTTCAGTTGATAATTACGTTATTTCTATCATTCATTAGACTATTTGTTATCATCCTTATATGATATTAATTTTAAAAATTTATTTCATCAGATATTGAAAATATACTAGAAAATAGAAGAATTGCATACCTTGTTAGTTAAGTATGCATATATTTGCCGAGTATGATGACAAATCCTACCTTATCTCGCTCGGTTTTTTTTTCTTAAAAATAAAAAAACGAAAAAGCTTTAGCATTTTTATTGTTGTTTTGATATGTACGTACTTCTCTATCGTTCTTTATGATGACAATCATTTTTGTTTCATATATTAACATTCTTTCGGCATCTCAACCTACCATTTCATCATTTTCTAACCACAATTCTGCAAACAGTTTTTTCATCAAACATTATTCATAATGGCTTATACACCAAGATGTAATTTAATAAATATATGTATATTAATAATTAAAATATTATATATCTTTCGTTTTAGTTCAAGATGATCAAAATCAAGCTCGACAAAATTATCCAACTATTTCAAACCTTGTCAAACCACAGGATAATACTTATCAATTTGATAGACAAACTACGGATAGTCCCTATACAAATCGAAGACCAATTGATAATCGATATCCATCGGAAATCTATCGAACACCATATAGTACCTATGATGGTACAAAACGACCAGATGATTATCGATATCCATCGGATATCAATCGAACACCATATAGTACCTATGATGGTACAAAACGACCCGATGATTATCGATATCCATCGGATATCAATCGAACACCATATAGTACCTGTGATGGTACAAGACGGCCCGATGATTATCGATATCCATCGGATATCAATCGAACACCATATAGCATCTGTGATGGTACAAAACGACCAGATGATTATCGATATCCATCGGATATCAATCGAACACCATATAGTACCTGTGATGGTACAAAACGACCCGATGATAATCGATACCCAATTCGTCATTCATATCCTGGTAATGCACGTTCATGTGCTATGGAAATTAATATAAAAATTAATACTGGTGGTAGTGGAACTTCTCAAGGACCATATGCAACACAAAATTATACATCAAAATCACCAGATGTTCGTTCGCAAGCAACTATTGATAATGTTCGTTATATCACTTTACATTTGCAATCACCACAAAATACGGCTCGAATTGCAACGGATGGTATTATAAATCGGTTCCAATGACAAAATTCAACTGGTTTTTCAAGAGAAAATGACAATTAATAATAACTAATTTATATTTTAAAAAACTATTACAAGAAATCTAAGTGTGCGTGTGTGTTCGAAGGTGATTTTTATTTATCAAATCAAGAATAATAAATAAATACAACAGAAAAAAAAAAACATACGTTTTGTTTTTTTTTATATTAACATAATCTAGAATGAATAGATAGAATTAACATTTTATTTATATCAGAGTTGTCAGTAGGCTACTTTTTTCTGTCCGACAAGGTAAATCAAGCCATGACCCTATCAGTTCTATTTTGCAGAATCGAAAAAAAATATAATCACGAGAGATAAGTTTCATAACATAAAATTGACATTCGATTTAAGCATTTCTTGCTGAAATCGAATGAATTTGCCAAAGTACTTTTGAATAACAAGGCGATTCATCAAAATTTTTTTTCATAAGTTAAGAGTCAAATAGAGCTCATCGGGTCCAAAATTATCGGACTTGTGCTCAAGAAAACCATACTTTGATACTCTCAATGAAATTTTTTAATCGGAATTGGATAGTCATCCCGAAGATACGACATACTTTTTCCTGATTTGTTGTATTCCGTGACTAGAGCATCTTACACATTTCTCAGATGACGAGAGTCCGTTGGGTCCTAAATTTTCGGACCTGAACCCAACTGAGTTCGAGTGTGGAATCAATCTGATGGATTCTAGAGCCAGACTAACAACTTTGACCTGATCTGGCTTATCAACCAGGTCGAGTTTTACCTGGACGGATCAGGCCATGTTAAAATACCATTATTTGACCTGACTCAGTAGCCTGCCAGGCTGATTTATACTGAATCTTACGAGGGAACCTCATTAACAGATACGCTCTGTTTGAGCTCACAGCGTAAATAAAAATTCTAAAATGGTTCGTGTCATTAAACCTTTCTCTTCTCGAGTTATGGTCATTTTACTGAATTTTCAGCCTATCACAGGATATTATGAGAAAAACCGCAATAAGAAATTTCTGTCTGAAATTTTTTCTAATAACAGGCCTCATAGTTCTTATTATATCTTGAAAGTTTCAGTTCACACAGATGCTTCTCTTTCGAGATAATACATTTGCAAAAATCACTACTTTCTCATAAAAACTCCGAAAATAGTACAGTTTTTTTAGATATCCAATATTGTAAGAAATACACACATCTGTTTGAGCCGAAACTTTCAGGATGTAATAAGGACCATGAAGTCTGTTATAAGAAAAATTTTCAGGCAGAAACTTCTTGTTGCGATTTTTTTCATAATATCCTACAATAGGCTGGAAATTCAGTAAAATGATCATAACTCGAGAAGAAAGGCCTACAGGTACGAATCCTTTTAAGATTTTTATTTGCAGTATGAACCCTACCCATAAGCTTAAACAGAGGGTGTCAATTGTTGAGATTCCCTCGTAAATATTACTGAGCATCAATATGACATGAAAATACTTAAAAAAATTCTGTTTCATTATTTAGTCATCATCTCTTTTTATGAAATAGTCAAGTTCTTGTCTTTTTTTATTTATTTAATTGTTTATGCGCATTGCTAATGAATAATTATGATTTGATAGACAAGTCATTGATAGAATATTGTCAATCAAATTAAATTCAACACTTGAATGGCACTATATTTCATTTTAAAGAAACAAAAAATGAGCAATATGAGATATTGAATTTATTGATCATGAAAAATTATTGAAATATTTCTTTCTACGAAATAAAACTTGTATTAAAATCATATGATATGTTATTAATCTTTAGTAATAGATATTAGTCACAATACGCGTTTGAAAGTTTATTAGAAATCGTATCAGTTCATTTTGTTCCTCATATTAACCTAGGTTTTGATCCCGCCAGGATCGGGACCAAAAATTTTTCTGATGAAGATCCGGCGCAGGTTTTTTCTACTGGGGCCGGGACGCTAAAAACGCTTGACTCCACTTATCACTACTTAAATATCAAATCTTGTAAAATTTTTAAGATATTAATTCATAACATTTCTTTTCCTATTGCACAAATGTTGATTTTCATCAATTGTAATATATACCAATAAAAAAAAAAACAAAGCATCTCGAATTATATTTAATTTTGTTTTTTTATTTGCAACATTTTTCATATCTCATAAATATAAAACTCTTATCACATTCGAATATTTATCTAGAGAAAAGAGTTTTTTTTTTTTCTTCTCTATTTACATAAACAAAACAAATGAATATTGTATTGATAAGGCTTTTTTTTTTCATGTTCATCATTAGAACTAAATTGATGTCAACATTGTTTTTTTTTTCCGCCTACTCAAAAATTCGGCCAACACTTATTCCATTTTCGCACGAAAATTTCATTGGTTCATTTTTTTTCTCATAGAAGAGAAAAAGCCTTCGATGTACACCTTCTTTTGTTTGTATAAGAGAGTAACTCTCCATAAAAAAAAAAAGAACACTTCATTTCCACTATAGTGTATCGTTCGGTAAGTAACATATGAATTTAACATAAACAATATTTGACTATGGCTTTTTTTTCCTTTTGATTTTGTTAAAATATTACTTTTTGCATCTTCTTCTTTTCTTATCATAAAAAGAGAAAAATAATAAAAAAAAAAAAAAAAACAGATAGAGTCTTATATGTCATTTCATTACATGCGACAAATATCAGCAGTGTTTCATTCTCATAATTGAATATTTATCATATTATAGATTGTCCTTGATAACCGTTAAAAGAATTACCAATCAATTTTCTTCTAATCAAAACAAAAAATTTTGTTTCATTCAAATTATGCAGAATAATTTACAAAAAGACACAACATATACAAAAATATTTGTTGGAGGTATAAAGAAATTTGTTCAGTTTGTTTTTTTTTTTTGTATATTCAATTTTTCAAAAAAAACATTTTATATATTTAAGGTTTACCATACCATACAACTGATGAAACATTACGAGCTTTTTTTTCTAAATTTGGTGAAATTGAAGAAGCTGTTGTTATTACTGATCGAAGTACAGGAAAATCACGTGGTTATGGATTTGTATGTTTTGAATTTTATGAATTAAATTGTTTTATTTTTTTTTAATTTTCTATATAGGTAACAATGGCAAGAAGAGAAGGAGCAGACGAAGCTGTAAAAGAACCAAATCCAACTATTGATGGACGTCGTGCTAATGTTAATTTAGCTTATTTAGGTGCTAAAAATCGAGCAGCAACTTTACCATGTATGTTTACTAATTTACACAATAGGAAAAAAAAATTATCTTTTATTTTTCTAGACAATTATAGTCTAATTGCTCGTATGCCTACATATCAATCAACCGCTGCTGCTTATCCGTATGTATATAATTATTAATTATTAGAAATCAAATTTATTATTTTTTTTTTTTATGCAAATGTGATGACATATCTGATTTTGCATATAGATTTGATTTTTGAGAAGGAAGCCATTTGTTTGTTTTTAATTGTCTTTCTTTTTCTTTTTCTTTTTTTTTTATCAAATAGGCTTCTCTTCTTGTTCTGTCCGCCTTGATCACTTTTGATCGAATTGAAATAAAATGAGAGACAACAATACAAAAAAAAAAAAAAAAAAGAAAAAGAAATCTTCAGACGAAATAATAATGTGAGTGCATTTTCTGCCGATGGCATTAAAACAATAGTAACTAATATACAATAGAAGACAGAGGTGAAAAGTTGGATAAACAATTATCAACTTTTTACATGTTATAGTTAAAAAGAAAGAACAGAAACAGAACACAACGACAAAATGACATTCGTTTCGTCTTTCTCTCTGTATAGGCTAATACAAAGTGCTGCCAACGGATGAACAGCAAAATGATTTAAATGAAAAAAAAAAGGTGCTTGTAGGTGTTTTTTTTTTCGCGTGCTCTGACCGTGTTTTATTTTATTTTTTGATTTGGTCGTTTACGTTTTGTTTGCCGTGTGTATATAAATATCCAACAGAGTCTAACGATTTGTTTATTATTAAATCATGATTTTCTTTATCCCTTATACGACACTATTAAAACTTATTTATAAAAGCTCTTTTTTCCCTATACATGTGTGTGCGTGTGTTATTTTGTTTGTTTGTGTTTTGGCTCTCTTTTGTGTTTGGTTTGACCTCGATCAATTTGCGAGAGAATCTGCATAGAAAATTTTCTCAAAAAACAACAAAATTTATTTAATAATAATAATAATTTTTTGTTTTTATTTTATTTAGTTCAAATGTTGTGTATTATCCATTAGCTCAACAATCAACTATTCAACAACCACTTTATTTAACACCAACAACTGCAACAACAGCAAACACATGGCCAACAAATTTATTTTCACAATTTAATCTTGCAAATCTATCTGCTGGAAATACATCAAATACAAATGTATCAACAACATTAAATACTACAAATACAACATCACCACAAACAATTTATGAAGTACCAACAGCAACTTTATTTGAATCAACATCATCAACAAGTGGACAACAATTATATTGGCCGAGTTATAATTAACCTTTTTTTTTTTTTCGTTTTATTCTTTCTTTGTAACAAATCTTTTGTTTTTCTTTTTTTTTTTTTTTTTTTCTAATCACCGTTTTATTTCTCAGACAAGAAAAAAACAAAAATTACGACATACAGAAATAAATAAATAACACTGAAAAAGACAAATCTATTATGAACGTGATTTAAATTGATCACCATCAAAAGGTAATTTAAATTTTTTTATTTCAACCATTAATTGATGAAGATTAGGTAAAGATATATTTGACGATGCAGTTTTTAAATTTGTATTATTTGATAATAAACGTTGAAAATCATGATAATAAGATAGAAATTGTGTAAAAACTTCTTTAAGAATTGGTTGACTAAGTTTAAGTGATGGAAATGAACGAATAACATCATTATGAATTAAATCAAATGTCTTTTTAAAATCACCACTAAATAATTTACTAATTATTGTTAATTTATCTATTTTTAATATAAAAATAAGAAATAGAAAAATTTTTTATTTTTTGGAAAATAAATTACTTTCTAATTGTTTTATATTGCCATCGGATAAAAATTGATCACTATCACGAACAAAAGTAATCAATGGAGAAAAATATGGTATTAAAACTTCTTTAACATATTCATCAATACGTTCACGAAGTAAATTTTTAACTGCATCACATTCTGGTGAATCTTCACTTGTATATGCCTTTAAATATAACAACAAAAAATAAAAAGACACTAATGAAAAGATTTATACTATTATTTGACAATTTAAAGAAAGGAAAAAAATTACTCTGCCTTGTGGTAAATTCAATAGCCTAATAAATTTTCTATAATTAATAGTAACTGTAACTCTTGATAGAAGCTCGATATGACGCAGAGTTCTTGCGCTCAAGCACTTTAGAGAACTCTTCTCCTTTCCGGACATGAAAATCAAAATTTTTTCGGTTTTTAATTTTTCATCGATAATATAGCTCACATGTGTTCTCTGTGAAGTGTTATATAAGTGATGAGTCTTACGAGAGAACCGCTCGAAGTGATTCATCACTTTTGAGCTCATATTTTGGAGATATAGAGGGAACCTCTAGACTAGAATAATCGTAAAAGGGGTCGGGGTCATAGGCCTCCTCTACAGAGTTATAGCAATTAGCTTATAGTACGGTATGTACAAATAAATTGACCTGAAAATTTGCCCACAGATAGGTCTACTTGTAATTAGAATGCTCTGAAAATTTCAACTGAAAATAATATTTCCTTCGCGAAATATTGAATGTCGATAAAATATAAGATTCTCGCATCTTTTATGAGATCTGAATGATTTTTGAAAATTCAATATCCCGCGAGACATTTTCAGAGCATTCTAATGACAAGTAGACTTATCTGTAGACAAAATTTCAGATCAGTTTATTTGTCCATACCGTACCATAGGCTAATATTGGTATAACTCTGTAGAGAAGGCCTATGGGTCCGAGCCGTTTTAAGGTTATTCTAGTCTAGAGAGGTTCCCTCTATATGCGCGCAACATGTGAGCTCAAAGGCGGTGAATCACTTCGGGCGATTTCCTCATTAGTTAGTACATTTATTAAATCCAACTTTCAGAAATCTCGTGCTATGATTTTTCTATTCTATGCAGAATTCTCCTAATGAAGTATAGTCCATATTTTGTTTTTTTCATTCGAATGAAACAAGATAAAAGTAAACCTAATAGCATAGGCACTACACATAGTGTCTAGCGTATGTAAAAAATAAGTGTCACCTCTGTCGAACATATTGCAGCTGAGAAAGCAGAGCGATGTTTAGCCTTTGCGATCCCAATATCCTCTAGAAGAAATCATTTGAGAATTTTGTGTCTAAGACAAATTTTACTCTACTCATCGAGATCTATCTACCTTGAAAGTTTCAAATTTTTCTGATAAGCCATTCTTCAGAAAGGGGTGCTTCTCGCATCTATCGGAGAAGTGATCCGAGACAAACAGCTGTTAGTGACTTGCCCAAGATCATTCCATGGTTGATGCTACTGAAGTTTGCACACAGCACCTTGTGAATACGTATCGAACAATTTAGTCACTCGATCATGATGACTCTAGCAATTTAAGACAAGAACTAGAAATGTTCGAATTCGGTCTTGACTACAATTTAATAAAAGGAAATAGAAGTATCGATGCTTTATAAAAAACACAGTTAAATATTACAGTCTATATGATAATGAGAAAATAAATAATATTTTAATTTTCTTACAGTTAAAACAGATAATATAAGATCATAATTATTAATAATAAAAATTAATTGTTCTTTTCTTTGTGGAAATTCATTAGCCATACGAATAATAAGAGTAAGTATTTCAACTTGTAAACGTGTCATTAATGTTGAAATTTTTTCATTAGAAAATTCTTCATTTAATCTTGTAACAGCTCCGGAAAATTCTGCATAACGTCGTACAATCTAAAAAATTTCATAAGAAAAATTTTTCAAGAAAAAAAAAAACAACAACAATTCTTCATACAAAATGTGGATTAAGTTCAATAGATGAAAATTTATGTGGTTCAACACGTTGTACACTATCAATATTAGCTTTCATAACAATTTCAAAACGATTTTCACATATATGAATTAATATTTCATGAAATCTAAGAAAACAAATATCATTTTGTTTTTTTAAAATATATTAAATAAAAAAAACCCTAAAATACTTACCTATTTAATATAGGTACATTACGTTTATTAGCTATAACTTGATAACGATAAAGTAGATGTATGCAAAGTAAAATAGATATAGGATCATATGAATCAGATATATAAGTTTCGAAATTTTTTTGCAATAATTTAAATGTTTTTTCAAATATTTCCATAAAAAAGTCAGGTGCTGATCGATTATTTAACATAAAAAAATCACATAGAAATAAATATTCACGACAACAATTATCTAATAAAGCATATTGTTCACTACGAAATAAATATTCATATGGATACTTGAAAAAAAAGAAAATACAAAAATGAATTCAATTCAAATAATAAAAACATTTCTCTTTTTACTTTTATTTCAGCTTTTTGTTGGGCATGTGGAACAATTATTGGAGCTTCTAATTCTTGTTTAAGTACACAATCACGATTACCCAAACTGAAAACAGTTGCACGATGTTTTAGATGTGGCTTTATATCAATAAATATAAATAAAAAGTAAGAAAAAAAAAACAAAAATTAAAGTTATACTTACACGAGCACTTGTTGAAAAAAATGATATATTTGATCGAGGACGATCATCAGCACCAAGTAGATCGTCTTTATCTGCTTTTTCATCTAACTATAAACAACAAAATAAAAGAACCATTTTTGATCGGAAATGAACGATTTGGCGATTTTCGAAGTAGAGAGAACGTGGAATATATTGTATCTATGCCATTTAGGGAGCTGCGGGCCCACGTTTTTGTGGGTCCGGACCGGTCAGACCCAGTCGGGTTCAAGCCCGACGTTTTTTTTTATCAATACCTGGTGCCCTTCGTGTACATGAACAAGTGAAGGATCAAGGTTTCAGCTATTTATTCGCTAGTCTCAGAGGAAAAACTCAACGTACAGTTATATCTTGTTGCTGGATTTCTCATCTGAGAAGCACCGGGTCCACAAAAACGTCTAATCAGGCCCAACGAAAAATAAAAGATTGGATCCGGACCCGCAGTTCCCTAATGCCATTGATCTAATAAAATAGCTTAGTAGTGGAACCAGAAAAAAAATTGTAGAGAGGCATTCAACTCAAGTTTAAAGCTGAAAAGAAGATATTTTCTTCGCTTATAATATAGGATCGTCTAACTTCTAGAGGGGACCAAGTCTCCTCCAATAGAGTCCGATGGGTCGAAAATTTTCAGACCAGACTCGGTTGATAAAACGTTTTTTGGACCGAGATCCAGTCGGACCATACATTGGTACTTTCAATGAAATTTTCTAATCGGAATAGGATAGTCGCCCCTGAAGATACGAGATATTTTTCTCCGATTTTTTGTATTCGATGTCTAGGGTCAAGCATATCGTATCTAAATTTTTCAAACCCAGAGCCACCCCGACGATCTTTAAATCACTACAACATGAGAAGAAAAGATCACTGGACACATATCAGACAAAAGGCTTTTACCCAAAGTGGAAACTGCAGATTCTGTTGATTCCTGGTGGTTCTAATGAATCTGACCATTGGCAAAGGAAAGGAAAATTACCATTAGATAACAAGTAAGGAAAATTTTGTGACTATCATCATCTCGTCAGAGAAATTATATTTCACAAAAATCAGTCATTTTTAAAAAGTTTCACTGAAAATTCTCGTCATACGGTACTTCTTCAGACAATCAAATTTAGATAGGAGTTTTGCCTTAAGAGGGAACTGCCAGAAGTGATTCACCGATTTTGAGCTCGTATGTTGAGCATATAGAGGGGACCTCTAGACTAGAATAACCCTCAAAGGGTTCGTACCTATAGGCCTCCTCTACAGAGTTATAGCAATTTTAGCCTATAGCACGGTATGTACAAATAAATTGACCTGAAATTTTATCTACAAATAGGTCTACTTGTAATTAGAATGCTCCAAAAATCTCTCGCGAGATATTGAATTTTCAAAAATCATTCAGATCTCATAAAAGATGGGAAAATCTTGTGTTTTATCGACATTCAATATCTAGCAAAGGAAATACTCTTTTCAGATGAAATTTTCAGAACATTCTAATTACAAGTAGACTTTTCTGTGGATAAAATTTCAGGTCAATTTATTTGTACATACCGTGCAATAGGCTAAAATTGCTATAACTCTGTAGAGGAGACCTATGAGCTTGAACTCTTTTAAGGTTATTCTAGTCTAGAGATCCCATCTATATGCCCAAAATATGAGCTCAAAAGCGGTGAATTACTTCGAGCGATTCCTTCGTTAGTCAATCAAAATTCAGTATAGCCTTGTCTTTGCTAACCCAGGAAAAATCATGATAAGGTTTGATTTACTAAGACAATGTCAGAGCAGTCTACAATAAATTTAATTTATCTCGTTTTGTTTTTATGCTTTTCAAGCTACTCTTTTTAGGTGTAGGTGAGAGTGAAGAGAAGACGCACACTCCTGTATGCTGAAGGGATTAAAGGGATTGCAAGGACTTAGAGGACTAAAATATTCTTACAGCCTTAATATTGACTAATATGATTAGATAGAACTATCTTCTGTATTATTTAAACGTGATGAGAGAATTAGCAAAGGAAAAACCGTTGGTTTCCAATAAAGAATATCATCAATTTAACTTACTTGAAGTTTAATTAATTTAGTTGAATAAGCTTTAAAATATGAAAAATAAACTTTGCTTAATGTATCAATATATTCTCGTCGAATTTCATCGGCTATTTGTCTATCATTTGTTAATAAAAATTCATAAAAAAATCTATTCCTTAATAAAGCATTTTGTGGTACTTCATAATTAGTCATTGGTTTACGAAATTGATAAATTTTTTGTAATATAAATTCACGAATTTTACTAATTGTCTATCAAAAAAAAAAAAAAAAAAAAACTAAAAAATTAATGATAAAATAAATAAAAAACAAAACTATTACTTTAATACGTAATTTTTCTAAAACTTCTTGTACATCTTGACAAGCAATAGCATCATGAAATGATTGTTCTTTAACAAATTTTATTTTATGACTTAATTCATGAAGTTGTTCAAGAAATTGTCGTTCTGTTACTGGTACATCCATAATAATTCTACAAAAAACAAAAAATTTATTAAATAAATCAAAAATTCATTTATTTAATATATACTGTATCATTGATTGTGGTACAACCATTTCATCAACAACTTGACTTAGTTGTCCACGTACAAGTTCTCGATTCTTTTTTTTAATATTTAATTCAGCTGAATATTGTTGTAAATGACGTATTTCATTACTTATATTTGCTAAATTATTTTGAAAATTTCTTAACATATGATCCATTGACTATAGAAAAAAAAAACAAAATGTTTTTAAACTAATATAAAAATAATTTACTTCAAGAATTTTATCACATGATGATATTTGTATATGAAGATTTGCAATATTATTTGTTTCACCAATAACTTAAAAAAGAAATTTTTTTTTATAATGTAATACTTCATAGGTTAAACTATAAACTTATCGCATAGAAGTTTTTGTACATGTGTTTAGTATTTTAAGTATATAATGCAAAAAAAAAAAAAAAACTTTTTATCTTGAACAATCGAAGTAGGGATGCGCATGTAAGCTTTTCCGTATCTTGTATCCTTACTAAGAAAAATTAGCACGTAAAAACTCATTTTTTGTGCCATCTGTAAGATTGGCTTATCTCGGTTTAGAAACGTCTGAAAGAGCTAGAAAATGTTTCATTTTGTAGAGAATCGTTTGTTTTATCATTTTGGATACTTCGAGTAGAATTCAAAAAAACTTGATTTTTGATTTTTCAAAGATTCCATCCTTTGAAAACCAGCAATAATTTTCATTTGCAGAAGTTCTTATTATTTGGTTGAAGATTTCAGAAATAGTGAACGAAAGAAAATCTTTAAAAACAAAATGATTTCAATCAATTTTCTATCGAATAATCTTAAAATTCTTAAATTATGATGATTCAAATAATTGTGTTCAGTTTTATTTCTCTATAGATCATATATTCTAATACGCACAATCTTGTACAAAAGCTTTTTCATGTATTTGTAATTTTTCTTGTATCTGTTCAGAATATTGTGCCAGATCAATATCCTATAAATATGAATATTTTTGAAGATATGAATTGTTTTTCTTTTTTTTTTCCTTGAAGAATATTTACTTGAGTAAGAGCTTCTTGAACAAATTGATCCTGTAAATTTTCTTCGATATGAGCTATAGAATAAATTCATTAATTGAAATTATTAGATTTTCCTATTTTAAATATAATACCTTCCATATCATCTAAAGACCATTCTTCATCAACTGGTTTATCCAATTGAAGTTTTTGTAATATATTTGCAGCCTAATCGATAACAAGATAAAATGATATATTAATATATTAATAACTATTTACTTCAAGATAAAGTTGTTCACTTTCTAAATCACCTAGATCTGTATTATCAGTATGAAATGGTTCTTCAGTAGCCATGATTATATATTTTTTTATCTAAAAATAAAAACAAAGACATTGAAAATAAACTTTTCATTAAAGAAAAAAATATATAGAGAGAGAGTTTGTGTGTGTACGATTGCAGTTGCAATAAACCAATACAGAATGAATATTGTTTTAATCAGATTTCTTCACGAGTGAAAGTTATCTCGAAATTTGATAATAATCACCTTGATCTTATTTTTTATTTCAGTTAAATATACAAAAAAATCTATTTGTTGTTGACCCTTCGATGTATTCTAAGACAAAAATCTCAGAAAAATTTTATAGAATTTCAGTTAAGAGAAACAATATAACAACTTAATGAATTTCAAATTCATTTACAAATTGTTCGAAATATGTTTACATATAAGTTTTCTTTTTTATATACAAAATAAATAACTTACGAGGGAACATTTCTAAGTGTCAAATCTCTTTTGAATCAACAGGACTATCTGCATCATGTAGATGTAAATGTCCTGAACAGAGTTTGAGCTAATAACTTATTGCTGTCGAGATACTGAATCCATAATGAAAATAGCTTATTATGAAAGTTTCAGGTTTTTTCGATTGCGTCTATTTTGAAATAAGAATATCGGAATTTGTCATTCCAAACTCAAAGTTTTTTCCATCAATATTTGGCACCTTTCGTATACATGAACAGATGAAAGATCAAGGTTTCAGCTATTTATTTGTTACTCTCAGAAAACAATTCAACGTACAGTTATATCTTGTTCCTGAATTTCTCATCTGGGAAGCAGTGAGTCCACAAAAACGGGTAATCTGACCCCAAAAAAAATTAAAACTTTGGATTCGGGTCTGGAAGGACTCGCAGCTTCCTAATGATCGGCGTGAAAAGCATGCTTTTACCATAGCCATATCATAGGATAGAGACAATCAAAAGATTTGAAACTTTTAGAATAAACTATTCTCATTAAGACATGTCTGTATGCAAAGTTTAAAGTCGAAACTCAATTTTCCTACTGTTTCTGAGGAAAATCATGACATTTTGCTAAACAATACAGTACCTTAGTAGTAATAAGCTATCAGCCTTAACTCTTTTCGAGATTCATTAGATTCTACATGATGCACATAGTCTCGAGTCAAAAGTAATTTGACATTTAGAAACGTTTCCTTCGTTAATTTTGTACGATAACATAAACGTCTAATTTCATAGCAAAACAAATCCTATCATAAGAATAAATGCTGAACATTTTTGTCTCAAATCATTATCTGCACATAATTTTCTTGTTCTATTATATTTTAACATATAGACAAAATAAAAGAAATAAAATAACTGATATCTTTGTTGTTGTTTTTTTTCTTTCCTATTTATTAACGATTCAAATAAATATTCATCGAATTTGTCGTCTAGATGAATCAGTTATACCATTCGAAGTTGAAATCGATTGATTATTTATATCAAAAGCCGAACGACATGTTGAACATGTTGATGTATTATCACAATAGATTGATAAACATACAGAACAAACATAACCTGTATCAATTAATTTATGATGACAAAAACATGCTGGACGATAATCAACAGCTACTTTTGTTGGTAATGCAAGCATTTTACGAACTTCTTTATCAGTTAAATAAAGCCAAAGTAAATATTGTAATAAACCATTTGGATCTGGTACACGTAAATATATACCTGATGTTAAATCACCTAAGAACAAAAAAAAATCATCAATATAAGTTCTATCGTTTAAAATAATCAGTTAGAACTATGACACTTTCAGTATCGGGACAAGCTCTATTACGAGATTTTCATGTGAAATGTTGCTGATAGATAGATTTTATACATCACAAGACAAACCATGAAGTAGAGAAATGTTTGAGAATTAGTAACATCTCTTCAATAAGAAGTACATTATATTTGTTTGTCTAGAGCAAATGTTAGAATACATCATAACAATGTTCGATTTACTTTTAAATAATCTTTTTCTATTCATCTGAAACGAACACTACAATGATGTGATATAATGATGAGTGTTGAAAGACAGATTAGATATTGCAGTATTTTATTTGTCGTAAGAAAATGACAACATGTAAAGAAACAATGTTTGTCATTTTCTTTATGATAGCATAAGCATTACTTATTCGTCATCTAGTTAGAAAGAAAAACGGCATTTTCTCGTTTAAACTATCACGTACATTTGACTACGTTTCCATACGTTTATTGAGGCTAATATCCAGCTATTTTTCATTCAAAAAAAGGCGTTTAGAGTGATAAACAGGTATTTTGGACAATACATCACAGTTTAAACGACAAAATGCCCGTTTCGCTTCTCCCTGGGCAGGTGTATTCTATACGGTACGTTGATGCTATCTAATGATCACAACAATATTTAAAAAGGATTAACTAAGAAATTCTCAATAAAGACTATCATGAGACATCGGTGGTATCCGATTCATCATGGTAGTGCAAATCACATATAAAAAGTGTTGTTGTTGTTAAATTTCTCGAAAAGAGAGAATTTAAAAGCATAGTCTATTCGATATATTCAGCTGACGTCGTCTCGTCTGAGTTTCTGTTATGCAGCTATTTTAAAATATAGATTAACTATCTATCTAAATGCAGTAATTTAACTAAGCAATAACCGAGCAATTAGTTTGACACATGCCAATGAATACAAAAAAAGATTATTAATACGTTTCTTGTTGAAGAAATTTACTAGTTCTCAGAAATTTTTGAACATCCTATGTATTATTAGAAAGAATTTATAATTCATCGAGAAGAAAATAGTTGTAGAATATATTTTACTAATAAAAATTTTTGCAGTGCCATGTATAATAAAAAAAACTTAACTAATAACCCAAGTCGATTTGAACTCTATGACTAATACAAGTTGCTCAGGCGCATCAACATTATTTGAAGTCATCGAAATAGACTCAATTCTATCAGTTTTAATAGACTTCAAAAATATTCTCACAACAGATTTCCTCATTTATTTTGCTCTTTTCTTAAATAATCAAATATAGTCAAATCTATTCAATGTTTCATTATTTAGACTAGAGATGTTCAGAAATAAAAAAAATTAAAAGTTTGCCGGAACCAAGACTAAACTCAGATTAAATTTACTTCAAAATTCTATCTATTATCTTTATTATCTTGACTTACATGCTTGTTGTAAAAGACTAGAATCATTATTAAGTATACAACCATCAATAGGTACATTAATTTTTTCTGATGTAAAAACAGCATTCATAAAATTCATATATTGTTTTGATGTATCAGTTGTTGTTTGAATAATTAATATTCTAAATGAATTTTTTTCACCAGGTAATGTATCACGTATAAGACGATTAATATAACAAAGTGCTTGTGTTAATGCCATTGTTATCATTGAACCAGATGATATATGTTGTGGTGATAAATTTTCTATAAATTCTTTAAGATTATTTTCAACAACACGATCAATAACAAATAATTGTTCAAATAAATTTGTTTTTGTTACTGTTGGAATAATTAATGATTCATTTGTTGGATCAGGATAAAGAAAACATGTTTCATTATTTGAACAACCAATTATTGTTAAACGATGATTTATATCAAATGCAATATATGCATTACAAAATTGAATTATTATTTTAAGATATTGTTTAAAATTTAATGTTGTTGTTGTTGATGAAATTTTATCAGACCAATAAAATGGATTAAGATCAATTATAACAACAAGATGTTTTATTGATGAAGACATTTTATCTATAAAAGATATATCTGAAATATTGGGGTTTTTTTTTTCTTTTCTATAAGATTTTGTAATTTATTAATTTGAAAAGCAGAAAGAATGTGATAGAAAACAATAACATCTAAGAAGCCTACAGAAAAATACATGTCATCTGAAGTATGTGTACTATTTTAATGATGAAAATAATTCTCAAATAATAAAAGTTCCATTGTTAATATTTTATATCGATTGTTATGATCTAGACGAATGAAAGACTATTTGATCTCTATAGGAAGCTTGTTGGGTTCAAAATTTGTGGATCTGGGCATGCATGAAGCGTACTCCTTATTTGAACGAAATTTTTTAATTTGAATTTTCAAGTTCTTACGATGATGCACGATATTCGTTATCGATTATTTGTATTCTATGATTAATGCACTCGACACATATCTCAGGCGATCTTAATGATGATGATCGAATAATAATCAAGTCATAACTTCTAGAGTATAACCATCCGTTAGGTCAATCCTGGACATGCTTAATTAAAAATTTCTAGATCCGCACTCGGATCCTACTCACGAGAGAAGTTCTCCAATTGGTAAATCATATTTGAATCGACACTATGTGCATTGTATAGATCCAAATAAGGTATGAATACCTTGAAAAGAGTTTGTATCCTTAGCTTCTTACTGCGAAGATATTGCACTTTTATGGTATTTTTTAAATCAATGCTGTAGTCACAGAAAAATTGATTTTCGAATTTCGACTTGAAATTTTGCACAGAGACAGGTGTTCAAGTCTTTTGATTTGCTTCTATTCTGACATAAGAATATGAAATTCGCATGTTTATAAACACGCTATTACCATAGTTGTATCTTAGGATAGAAGCAACGAAAAGATCTGAAACTTTCACAAATCACTATTATAATTAAGATCTATCTTTATGCAGAGTTTCAAGTCGAAATTCAAAAATTAATTTTTCTGTGACCACAACATTCATTAAAAGACAGCTATTGGGATAATTCCTGTGGGATTAACATGTAAAACATAATGTAGTTGCTGTTACTAATCACAACAATATTGTATTATCCCATCTATTTTAGAACACATTTCTTCATCATCCTTGAGAAATTCAATAAGGAAGTAGTTCATATATTATAACGAGACGTTAATGATATACGATCTTTGATTGTATATCAACAGTGTCTACCATGTCTGAAGGCGGGTCCAAATTTCTACTCCTATACTTCAACAGTTCTTTTAGATAGTGTTTCACAAAATATCGTAAAAGTGCAGTATCTCAGTAGCAATAAACTAAGGGTC